GTAAAATATTACAACGGGTTAAAAATGAATGAGCGAAAAACTTTGAGCAGCTGAAGAGATCTTGGTGGCTGCAAATCTGTAATCGTTTTTGGCATATAAAAAATCCATCAGCATGACGGGTCATTACCCGCTCTTTCTAAAACACAGACCACAATCCCACATCAATAAATAGAATCTACTCCATATTTTAACAATAGATGCAGGTTGGTGATGGTGAAATAGGCCAATTTGCATTTAGAACTTAGAAGTGCTAATGAAGCACTTTTTCTCTTCAGATGAAGCGCTGAAGAGATATCTTTAGCAGAAGAGGTTCTCCAGTACTAATGTAGACAGCATGAGACTAAGTGATGCTGAATTTCGGTGTCACCTTGCCTTGTTTACTCACAACTGAGACTCGAAAGAAGCGGCCAAGCTTCTTTTTTTCCTTCAGAGTAACATCTTTACGTGCATTCTCTTGTCCATCTCTCAAATTCAACACGCTGCCTGACTTGCAAAACATTTGGGAAATTGACCCTTTCTGTTTTCCGCTGCTCTTCTCTACGCGCGCTGATTCTTCCCAGGAATGCAGTTTTCTACTCAATATCTGTCCTATTGATAATGTCGACTGAAAAACAGTTGGTGGTGGGTTATCGCCATCGACAAGAGGAAGACCCTTACTAGAGTTCTTGAATTTGGTTGGATTTTTCACAGAAGACTTTCTTTGACCTTGGTCAGATCTCCATTTGCGCATAGCCCCCTCAACTTCTAACTTAGCGCGATTGGCAGCCTCGACTCGGCTAAGTGCCTCTTCTAACGCAGCCTTTCTTGTCATAAGCTCCTCTGTGACTTTCTCAACTTTGGTTAATGTTTCTCTTTTCGAGACATTGGCTTCGTCAACTTGAAGTTCGGCACTAACAACTCTCCTCTTAAGTGTTTCCTCTGCATTTTGAGCTTTTCTGGTCAATGAAGTGTATTCCTCCACTGCAAGGGTTATTCCTTTCTCAGGTTTCATCTCATTGCTCTTTAAGGCATTGATTTCAGCACGAACAAAAGCCTCAGTGGCCCTAGAAGCTGCTTTAATCTTTTTAGCTGCAACCAATCTGCTCTCGGCAGTCTTAATCTTTGACTTTGTCTGTTCAATCTCACACATAGCCTTTAGAACCTCTGATTTTGTCGCTTCTAGAACCTTCTTGAGATGCTCAGCCTCCGAACTCAGCTTCTGAATCTCCCATGTGACATGCAGCGGATCATTATCACAATCTTTGAGTCTTTGGTTCGTTTGACTCACCTCTTCCTTGAGGGACAAGACTTTCATGGTACTGGAAACGAGCCTTTTCTTGGTCTTTTCAAGCAAGACCCTCTCTTTCTCTATTCTTGCCTTGTAAGATTCAATCGCAGTTCGGATGCCCACGAGATCATCTGTTGTCTTGGTTAAGTTTAGTTTGGCTTGTTTCAATTCCAATAAGATGAGTCCGGGGGTTGATGATGGGAACATAATCGAACTACTGGGACCACCATCATTAATCCCGGCAACAAGAATATCTGCATGCTGGAGCTTTGCTTTTAGTTCCACCACGGTATTCATGGTGGTTTCCAGTTCTTCTAGAGCAGAAAGCGTTTCCTTTTCTTTAAGAATCAAATCACTTTTTAACTGGGCAGCTTGCTTCTCCATTTTGGCAATGTCAACCTCATTGGTAACCTACTTTTATCCAGCCAAGAGCACAAAATGAAAAAAACAAAGATATGACAGAATGAGAGCTTATATGTGAATCTAGAATCAATAGACATCAATCAGATGATTACAAGCTTACGACATTTCTATAGTCATTTCAAGAAAATTGGAAACGAGATTTAACTGACGAAAACAAAAGAAAAATCTTAACCCGGTGTTCTCCCATACTTCGCTTCGCTACTCTACTTGGGGTGCAAAATTAGAATATAAAATATTGGGTCCCAAATACTAAATTTCTCGATAGGAAATTTTCATGTTCTACGGAGAGTGATAAAAATGGACCCCTCATTTTGTTAATGTAGACCTCATCTTTCAATTATGAGAATTCTGACACCAAATGTTTGTTAAATTAAAATGTGGTCTTCTGAGCCTGGGGTTTAAAATGGCTTTTAAAAGTGGACACTGGATAGGTTCCAGACAGGAACGCACCATCAATTGCCCGGGACAATCAGCTTGATCCCCATCCTTGAACCATTTGTCTTTGAAAAATAGACTGAATAGAACATTGTGAATCAAATCGGGCATTTGAAGGGGATATGGAACCAGACCAAGACATTCCATTCCCAATCAATGTGAACCACACCTGATCACAATGTGAACAGTCCTCGATTTCAGACCGGACCCAATACCCCATGTCCTGATTCGGTCAGCAGTCTGAAACCGGGCCCCACTTTACGCTTGACGCGGGACCACAAAAACATCTGGATTAACAATGGAAATTCTCAGATTTGGATGATAAAAATTGAACCCACATTGAATAATTGAGGTATGTTTTCCATAAATTTTAAACTTCACTCACACATTCTACTTAAAAGAACAATTTTTTTTTAAATACTATGGGGGTACGAATGTTTTAGTCTCTTCAAATATATGACACATTTTGTCTTAAATCCCCGCAGAATAATCTATTTTTTTAAACATCCCCTAACATTCACTTTCATCACCATACTAGCGTTTTAAATTCTTCCTTTTGGAACTTCTGATGACTAACTTCGGAGATAAACATAATGAAGTTAATCATTCACGTTTCTAAAAATTAAAACAGGTTTTAAGGGTCCTATAGAAAATAAAATTACATAGTTTTAAGGGGTTGTTTGATGACAAACAGAGTTTATTAGGATCAGTGGTTAACCAACACAAAACGCAACATAAATATAAAAGGTTAAAAACTAAAAAAAGTAATCTTGAGTTGATTAAACAAGAAACATTTGAAGGAGAGACTATAAACATACTTAAGCTAAAGCACAAATAAAAAATGTGAAGTAAGACAAGAGGGATAGATACCTCGGACTCACGGCCGTACGGGTTGTGTTTGGTGGGCCTCCAGAACCCGATTCCGCCGAATCTGGTGGTAGCCTCTTTGACGGACCCAAACGGAGCAGAAGTGTCGACCACCGACCTAGCAATCGCCGTCTTCTCCATTTCATCTGAATGCGGGTCGCCAGGAGCTCCGATTCCCGCCGGACCCGAATCATGACCGTCTTCCTGTTTCGCTCCACCGGCATCAGAAGCGGCGGGTACACCGGCGACATCGCCATTCTGCATTTGAGGATCCATCTGAAGTGAACCGACCCGATAATCCGAATACAGAGCGACTGGGGTGAAGCTAGACACCACAGAACCACGACGATCGGGCAGTAGAGGAGAACATTTGCGGCGTGTCGTTTGGATGGGTCGGGCAATAAATAAAGGCTTAATTAGTGGGACCAAAATCATCATTTATACCGCGATGAAAGGATTTTAAGGTGTTCTAGTCTCACAATATATGGAAAGAAAGAATTTAAGAATAAAGTGTTGAAAATTCGAAATTTCATTATTTGACTAGATGAAGTGAGGTGAACATTTAAGTTTCTCTTTAATTTCGAGAAAATTCCTCATATGGGAATAAACTATAATCCAAGTGCTTATATGTGACTATCGTTGTTTTCTTTCTAAAATAAAATACGAAGCAGAACTTATTCACTCATCATAAGTGAAATTTTATACTTTTAATATGATCAAATAAGTTATATTTTGGAAATAAGATACATGTACGTAGTTCTATTTGTGCATTTCGTCTAAATTTTAGTCCTGTTGGAGGAATTTCTATTTAATTGTTTGGGTCTTGATTTGAATTGGATTGACACAATGGTTATAGAATAAAAAATTACCATGTTTCACCTTCACACAATTCGATTTAGTTTGAGTTATATAAATTTTGAAGGTGATAAGGTTTGATTGATTTTTGTAACTCAAATTTTTTAGTTTGGTTATTTAGATTGATTCCAGCTTGGTTTAAAATTTTAATAGGACTTGATAGACATATCAAAATGAAGTTAGTAAAATATTACTATCGTATAAAAGCCGTTTGCCTCAAGAGTTGGATATTGACCAAAAAGTGATGTTATTATACCTATACTATGAGGTGATTACTTGGGAATACTTTATAGTTTATAGTTTATACTCCCTAAAACATTTTTTTTATTAAACAATTTTTTTATTAATCATGACAGAATATGACCTTTTTAATTGTTGTGAATATCTTATTTAGACTAATTCTAATAACGGTACGAGAAAGTGTTCAATAGTTTAAACATTTATTTATCATTCCACTCTTTTTCCTGTTATCTTCAATAATTTTTCTAGGTTTTATGATCAAGACCAACAATTTAATTAGGCAGACATATTCTTTTATAAGTTTAGATTAGACATTCAAGATCTTTGAATGTTTTTTTTATAGTGATCAAAATGGACAAAGAAGTGATATGCAAGTACAGGCCATCTTGATTTTAATTTTTTTACTTGCATAATGACCGAATACAGGAATGGAACTTCTGATTATGGGAAAGTAATCTTCCCATAAATATACAAAAAATCGAAGTAAGGCATAAACATGGAAATAACCAAGGAAATTAGTAAAATACTCTCTCCGTCTCATTTTACCTGTTTTATTTTTTATTTCTATTTTTTGCTTGTCCTAAAACAATATCACATTTGCATTTTTGAAAAAAATATGTGATCTACAACATTTTAACTTATTATACTCGAATCTCAATTATAATTTTTTAGTGCGTATATATCGAATTAAAGTAAGCCATCATTATCCTTCACTGAGTCATTAGCAATTCTCGAAGCTATTCTTGTTCAACCCTAACAACTAACAATAACAATAAGATCAATTCGAAAGAAATAGTATTTGTGTTTTCAATTATTTATTTAATTTATTTATCCTCTATTTGTGCATTCTTTCATTCATTTTGTGTTCATTCATTCGACAAGTGAGTGGTGATCATTCTCCTACTTTACCCGAGGAAATGTACACAGTTCATATATTTCAGCTTATTGGAAATGGAATAGAAAGTTGAAACACAATAATTTATTAAAATACTGTAATAACACACGTAATACATTGGAACCGAATCAAAAAGTTTTAGCCTTTCCAATACAAGAAAAACCAAGCGAAAGAATTTAGTTCTCCACTTTTGTGGATAACATCATAAACTCTTTGTTTAAATGTAAAAGATACAGAATTTGATCACATTGCATGCATCTATTGATCATACTTAAACTTATCACAATTTAATTCACCATCCTACAATTCTTCGGAATTTGACCATTGTTCCCGGTTAGTGGTTTAATATTACCCAACTTAATCATAGACTAAGCGAAATCACTTGAAAAAATGCGAGGGTTTCCTCCATATGTCCGGACAAGGCTATTGATCATACTTAAACTTATCACAATTTAATTCACCATCCTACAATTCTTCCGAATTTGACCATTGTTCCCGGTTAGTGGTTTAATATTACCCAACTTAATCATGGACTGAGCGAAATCACTTGAAAAAATGCGAGGGTTTCCTCCATATGTCCGGACAAGGCTATCAGTCTGACCACCATTTAATAATTGTTGATCAGAATGTAGAAGTCCTTTGTTTACCACCAAGCTATTAAAATATTTTGTGCCAAAAATGGCAGGACCGGCATCAAGAGGAGCTAGGGTTGAATCGCCCCCAACACGTGGACATATAGTTTGAAGTTGTGCTGCAAAGCCCTTGTCAATGTTTGTATCATTGTAGATGTGATCTCTAAAGTTCTTACATTGGGCAAAGCCTAGAGTATGGCCACCAGAAAGTGCGACTAAGTCTTTGACGTCAAGTCCTTGCTTTGTGAAAGAGCTTATCAATGCAGGCAAATCCATGAATGGTGCAGGAATGTCACTGTCCGCTGTAGTTCTACTAGCGGTGGTGGAATCCCTTCTCCCGAGTGGCACTATCCAAGATGGACCTCCTAACTGTAAACATAATAAACCACACATAAATAAACATAAATAATTCGTTGGTCCAAGAACTAAAGGACTTTGGAGATTGTACTATAGTACTCTTAAATGACTCTTAAATGATTTTAAAGTTATGGGCAAAGTATGACTAAATAGGATTAAACTATGGATCAATGGGCTAATAAATAGAAATAATTACTTTTTATTCTCAAGATAAGACTCTTTTAGTCGTAAGTCGTAACATAAGAATAAAATGTGTTTTAACATACTCCGTATTGTATACTTGGGAAATAATGAGTCCTAAGTATACAAACCTAGTTTTAATGAATAACTTGAGAATATAAAATCTCATATAATTAGTTTCAAATTCGAAGTATAAAGAAAAAGATGTAAAGATCTCCCAATCCTTTGATTACTTTAATTTCATGGTAAAAATGAATTACCGCAACTACGGAGTCTCTGGCAGCGACGGTCAAAATGTCAGCGCAAGAGACGACTGGGCCATTACACACTTTATCTACTTCTGACTTTATTTGGTCAATGACTTCAAAGCCCCGAGCTGAATTGGCATTGGGCACAGCGTTCTTTTCACTGTCAATGGTGGAAGAAGAATCCAACAGAATCGATCCATCACATCCCTATATTAATGATTTCAAGAACATAATAAGAAAAATTATCATCATGTAAATCATCAGATGAAACCCAAAAAATCAAATCATTCCATAAGTTATGTTCATCATCGTAATAATAAGATAGAATGTAAAATCTTTTGATTATCTTACGTTAACGAAACAATCGTGGAAATGAAGACGCAGTAAGGAAGCGCCCATCCGGCGCTCTTGTTTGACAGCGTCACACACGACGCGCCGGATGGTCGGGAGAGCCTCAGGGCACACATTTTGGTAGAAATATGGGGACAGATTTTGGGAAAACCCCGTCGTTGCTAGAGAGCAAAGGAGAGTTGACCAGATGATGATGAAGTAGCTATTGGAAGCCATTAGTGGAAATGATGGTATACTTCAGCGAGCTGGATTATGTATGGATGGATTCTAGCTATAATTGAGCTGTTTGGAAGTGTTTTTGGTGATATTAGCTTTCATCCACGTATATATGTATTTATAGAGGATATAATATCTTAGCCAAGCTAGCTACCAAGTAGAATAGTTTGACTAAACCCTTCAAGACTTGGCCTTGTTTGGCTCTGCAATAAATTCACCAGGCATGGACCCTTTCAACCAGAGCGGAAATGGTTACCCATTATTAACTTGACCAAACACGTCGTCGTCTTATTTACTACTAGTACTTGTTTGATTAAGAAGTCCATTAATTCATGGCTATTGTCAAGTTATGAAGTTCAGGTAAAAGTGGTTGTATGCCTGTATTGGTTGATACGGAATATATTTTAAAATACTTGTTATTAATAAATAAAATAAAAAATTATACGCAGTATGATAAATAGCTAAAATTATCCTCTTCAGTAACTTCAGCTGATACAGTCAGAAAATTAAAACCAATCTTACTTTTTTCTATTACTCCGTATTACATAGTTTAACACACAAAATAAAAAGTTACGGACTTGATGAAAAGATTGACCGAAAAATCCAATAAGACAAAACGAAGGGCCACCAAACTCACTCTTAATTTCTGATTGAGAATGCATATAGGGAGTATAAAAAATCAAAGTAGCACTGACTTTTGTTATCAACTTGCACGCCGGGGGTATAACCGACCTTTTGAAGTCGCAACGTACAATTTGGTATAAACCAATCATACCATTTTCAATACCAAATTAATTACGGAGTAATTATCAATTACTTGTAGTATATATAGTGTGAATTGAAACAGTTTCTTTTAATTTGCATGGGTCTCATGTGATTTGGTTATGACATTCGACGTTTTTATACTCATCATGAAAATACGATATACTTTCGTACTAAGTTGTATGATGTACTCTAGAATCTAGATCGATTATTTTACTAAATAATTCCTGCCTCCGGTTGCAAACGCCTACGAGCAATGAAGTATTCGGGAAATTTTCCGTTGGGTGAATTTATATAACAATTTAAATAACAGATATTGCTCTAAATATGAGTAAAAATGTTTTGAAATTCCAAAATAAGACTATCATATTTTTTATTCTTTGAATACTAGTAATCTGCCATGTTTGAAAAAAATGACATGTTTAAAACCTACTAATGCCAAACTTGGCAGAAATTTACTCCTATTAGAGAATACAAAACATGATAGTCCTATTTTGGAATTTCAAAACATTTTTACTCCTATTTAGAGAATTCTCCCTCTAAATAAACGTTTCATAAGCAGCTGATCACATTATTAAAATTGTTTAATTAAACTTAGTTTAAGTGACAACTTTTCATGTCCAGCCGGCCTGACGGGAACCGCTGTCCGGCCGAGGGCATTACGGGCACTTCCCGGTGGAATTTTTTGATGAAATATTTTGAGCATGTTCTTCATGAAGTCTAGTTTATCCATACCAAATTTTAGCTACAAATTTAATCGGGAAGGCAGTCAAATAATTTCTTGAAGTTAACTGGGCAGTTTATATGTATGAACTGCCCGGTTAACTTCAAACAATTATTTGAATGTCTTCCCGATTGAACATTTAACTGAAATTTGGTATAGATAAACTAGACTTCATGAAGAACATGCTCAAAAACTTTCATAAAAAAATTCCACCAGGAAGTGCCCGAAATGCCCTCGACTGGACGGAGTATCCCGTCAGGCCGGCCTGACATGAAGACTACTCTAGTTTAAGTTATAACTAGATCGATGTACAAGCAGGTAAAAGGAGATCAATTTATAAAATACACGTGCACAAAGACGCAATTGCAGACACAATTGAGAAAATTTCATGAATATGAGTAAAACACAACACATTTTCTCAAATAATAGTATCACTGGGGAAGAAAACACAATTAGCCCTATTTTAAATATTGTCCTATATTTTGAAATAGGACTAGGTACATCCCTACCTAGTTGGGGTTAAGGGGAGCAGCTCCCCTTGTTGCCCCACCCTAGGTATGCCCCTAGCTAAGAGGCCATGGTCCCCCAAGTAAAAACATATTACTAGTAATTATATGTATTTTAGAAAAAGTGGAAAAAAATATTAGGTTGGCATTTTAAGAGTCCGTTTGGTAGCACGAAAATCGGCTGATTCTGCTGAAATTTATGAAGTTCTGGCTGAAGTGGCTACATTGGCTCATTCTGCTGATTTCATAAAAAATTATTTCTAAAATATATTTTATTAATAAAATAAAGAAAAAATTATATGTAAAAATAGCTAAAATGATCATCTACAGTAACTTCAGCCAATACAGCCAGAAAAGTAACTCAAACCTCACTTTTTCTTCGTATTACACAATTCAGCGCGTGAAAGTAAAAATTACGTGTTTGGTGAAAAAGTTGACTCATAAGCCTGATAAGCCGAAAAACAGTGTTGCCAAACGGCCTCTAATACGGAAAACCAAAAAAATCGAACAGAAAAAACTCGAGCTAAGCTGAAAAAAACAAAATTGTAACCGAACCGTCTTTATCGGGTTCAGGAAGTAGATATCCGAATATTAGGGCCTGTTTACTAACAGAGATATTTTTCAGTTTTCCAGAAAACTGGAAAACTGGAAAACAGAAAACAGGAAACGTGTTTACCAAAGAAATTCCTGGAAAACTGGAGAAAGGAAAAAAGAAAAACACGTTTACCGAATCGTTTTCCAAAACGGAAAAAATGAGACATGTCTCTCTTTTCCTTAATGATTTAGAGAAGTGACTTTTACTAGTTTTCCAAATTTGGAAAACGCAGATGCTACAGTGCCGCTGCAATGAATTTGCATACTTACACCTAGTGGTGGGTCCGGTCCCGCTCCGATGTCGATTCCATTTCGGTACCTTCATCCTCGTAACTTACCCCTTACCGCTACCCTACCCTACCCTACCCTACCCTATCTTACCCACCCAACCCCACCCCGCATACCCATTTTCCCTATAATGACCCTACCCCACCCCGGCCCCACCCCGATCCACCCTACCCTACTGCCACCCCCTACCACCTCGACCCCACCCCGACCCACCCACCACCCGTATATTACCCCTTACCCCTTACCACATGCCCCTACCTCGACCCCACCCTACCGCCATCCTATCCCCACCCTCGTACCGCTATCCTACCCCCACCCTTCTGCCATCCGACCACCATCCTACCCCCCACCCTACCCTTCCCCTACCTCGGCCCCACCCCGATCCACCCTACCCTACTGCCACACCCTACCACCTAGACCCCACCCCGACCCACCCGTATATTACCCCTTACCACATGCCCCTACCTCGGCCCCACCCCCCGCCATCCTACCCCCACCCTCGTACCGCCATCCTACCCCCACCCTTCCGCCATCCGACCACCATCCTACCCCCCACCCTACCCTTCCCCTACCTCGGCCCCACCCAGATCCCGGGCCCACCCTATCGCCATCATATCCCACTACCCCTACCTTACCCTAACCCCAACCCTACCTACTACCCCCACCCTTACCGCCATCCTACCCCCACCCCCTACCCCTTCCCTACCTCAGCCCCACCCTGGTCCCGGCCCCACCCTACCACCATCCTATCCCAACTCCATACCCTACCTCTACCTTACCCCAAACCCTACCCACTACCCCACCCTTACCCCTAACCACGACCCTAACCCACCCACTACCCCCACCCAACCCCTACCCCTAGACCTTACCACCCCACCCCGACCATACCCCTTACCCCACCCCCACCCATAACTTCCCCACCCCGACCCCTACGAGTAGGTATGGGTGGGTATGAAGAGTTGTGGGGGAGTATGGGTAGAGTGTAAGATCATGGTAAGGGTAGGGGTCAAGGGTGTGAAATTGGAGAACTGGTGAAAAAAATGATAAACATGTTTTCAGATTTGAAAATGAAAAACTAAAAAATAGGAACAGAAAATTGGAGATAGAAAAACTGAAAAATAAAAACAGAAAATTGGAGAACGAAAAACAGAAGTAGAAAACAGCAAAATATCTCTGTTAGTTTTTTCAGAGTTACTACTTCATGTATAAATGTAAGTATGTAACATTAATGAATACTCCGTATCATGCAAAACATCGTACATTTATTTTTTATGACAAAAATACACTTAAGATCTAAAAGCCAAACATATATTATACCTACTAATTACTTAGTTTAATAACAATTTAGTAAAAGGAAGTAATAATTATCTTATAAATAGGGCCGAATCCACCTTGACCAAGCTTGAATGGTGGCAAGGATGTTAAAATATAAAAATATAAAATACGTAGTACATCTGATCTTTTGTCATACGAGAGAATGAGTTCATATACGGAGTATGTTATTGCTATGCCAAGACTCATAGAGCCAATTATATACTACGTATTACCAAGGGCGGACCCAGGAAGTTTATCTTGGGAGGGCGATAACTTAAAAAAAAATGGGAGGGCGAAAATTATTTTTTGGTACATATATACACTAAACAAATTTTTTGTTGGAGGGGCGACTGCCCCCTGGGTCTCTACTACGGTCCGCCCCTGCGTATTACAAAAAGGATGACACCCCCATCCCTGAGGGCCCCCCAACACCGACCGGACGGCACAATGGGAGGATGTAAATTGGACTATAATCACAATCTGAAAGATAGAGAGTGGGGCTCTGTCCCCGGTACTTACAGAGGCCCTATGCATTTTTCAGCATAGTAACCCCTCATCGTAGTTGCCGGGATTCGAACCCGAGACCTAACCCTTGTGGCACTCCCTCGCTACCAGTTGAGCTACGCTTACCGGTGCCCCTGCGTATTACAATAATGCATGGACAATAATCAAAATAGAAAGGGTCCTACTAGCACACTCTACTAGCTATCAATAGCACACCTGACACCTATACACAATATGACAAATACACAGTACAAGAAAAGACTCATTTGCAACTACTCCGTAATAATTTAGCTATGTCTTCCAAAGGAAAGTTAATACGAAAGTGACTAAACAATACCCGTAGTACAACTTAAAATGATAATAATAATAATAACTCTAATAAAGGAAGAATTGCATATATCAAAATTGCTCTTTGTACCCACCCTATACACACTACATATACCCCCAAAAAATTACCCCCTCTTTTCCCCTCACCTCACT